CTGCATAAACCTATTTGGAGCATAAATTCAAACTCTTTTTTAGCCACTTTGAGTTTCTCAGCTGATAGTCTCCTAGCTTTAGTGAAAACTGGTGGACCTCTGGTTTTTGATATAATGTTCGATGTTATGATTTTTAACTTTATTATTAACTACAGTTTTAACAAATCCAGAAAATAGTTAATGATACATTTATATGGATAATTTACAGCATTTAAAATTGCAATATTATTATTATTATTTTGAAAACAAGGAGTACCATTGGTTGTTAACAATGTAGTACCATCAATCAACTTACTATTTTTGGAATCTACCAAAAGGTTAAAATTTGCAGGAAAATCCATGCCTATTATCAGTTTGTTTCTTCAGCAAATAAAAAAGGCCATGTGAATGATCATCTTAGTCCAAGCTTGAGTAATTTTTGGCCATATGTTTCGATTTTTGTGCCATTTGCAGCAAAGAGTTCTAATTTTGAGATGGTTTTTTTATCTGAAGGTAAGGGAAGAATGCTGGAAATTTCTGCCCCGGTATCTATTAAAAATTTAGTAGCCGATTCTTTATCACTGATGAAAAGATAACTCAGCTACATCCCTTGTTCCTCCGTCGTCAATGAGAGATGGGGAGCTGGTTTTGCAGGCTATTTGTCTATGATTTTGATGAAAAGTTGCACGGTTATATACAATTAAATGACTTATCACCGAATTTTTTATGATATTAACAAATATCACTAGATCTGTTACCACTGTAACTGCTACCTCTTGATTTGGATCAGTTACGACAATAGGGATGACTGTGACGTTGCTTGGATAAAGCAGAAACTTGTAAGCTAAGTTCACTAACCTGTTTTTGTAAACTTTCAATCATTTCAATTTTTACCGTTATGGATGAAGCAGCAGCTATTTGGGGAGTAACAGGGTTTAATTCTCAATCTTATCGGCCATTGTAGCCACTTTTGACAAATCTTCACCACTAACAGATATAATATTACCCATATTAACAGATAAATGTTGTAGCCACAATGTTTTTAGGAAAGTATCTGTTACTTTATTGCCCACCAAATTGCGCATCTCACACAGCAGTTGAGATGGCTTTTTCTCACCCAGTTCTAACTCACTCAGTAATTTTGGGGTTTTGAGTCTCTGAATCTGCATATAATGAAATTAGTCTATTTTTAATTGCTTGATATTTATTATCTTGCGGTGGACTTGGCAAAATATCAGACACTAGTGATAAAATATCGGGTTCAATGGAACTTATAACATAATCATATTTTGTTTTATCTGCATTTATTTTTGCACTTCTAAATTGTGTTTCTAGTTCAATAAACCATATTTTAGGATCTGGCTTCCAAAAAGGAGGAACTTTAACACTTACCTTGGTGACAGACGCAATTGTTGCTTTAATTTTAGTTTCCTCGTAGCCAGCCATTGTATAATTTGATCATGCTGGGATACACCAGAGAAGTGTCTCATATGCAAATGTAGGAAAATAAAACTTCTCTGCCTCCAACAGAATCAATATTTTATTCCTTACAACGTTATATATGACTTATTCATAATATTTATTTACATTTTACATGCTTATTAAATCGCATGATAGAATACTGACTTTTTACTGACAATACAGACTTATCACTTTAACTAAATTAGAAACTTGACAGAACTGAAGCACCGCTACAGTTACCACCAAATATTATCGCCGTGTATTATAGTAAAAGAAACTAAATAATGAAGAATCCACATGAAAGTTTCTTGCATTGTAAAGAAACAAAGGTACCTAGAGCCATCAAATTTTGAACTCTGTTCTCCAACTGAACATAGGTACTTGGAAGGTATGCCATTTTGCTGTTTTTAATATTTTGTGATATTGCTATTGAATGTTATGTGTTTTAAGTGCGAAGAATGTGATATTTAATCAATAAAGGTAACACACAAAGTTTTTAAAAAGGCACCCTTTTGGGCATAATATATAATGCGGAAGCTTTCAGTTTTTTTTTTTTTTTATTATTTAACATTTTCTGTGTTATCTTTACTTACTAAATATCCCATTTTTCACACTTAAATCATAAAATTCAATTCAACAGCAATATCAAAAAAATGTTTTAAAAAAAAGCATATCTTTAGAATCCGGCTTCTCGCGTGCTGGAGATAATTTTTTTTTTTTTTTCCCCCTGTATGACTGCTATTTTTTTTTTTTTTTTTTTTTCCTTCTCTTTTAATGACTGTGAGTCCTTGAGTTTTGTTAATTAAAAAATTAATTAAAAAAAAACAAATTTCAAATTCCAAATCTGGGCTCCCAGATGCAAATATTTGAATAGAAGACTACATTATTCAAAATTTGATGTCTCTAGGTACTGTCGTTTTTCACAGTGCAAGAAACATATTTTACATTCATGCAGATTCTTTATTACTTACTTTCTTTAAATATAATACAGGGCTCTAATATTTGGCAGCAACAATTTGAAAAGTGAACTGAACGTTTATACTGAACCTGTACAAAAGGCCAAAGCGAAAAGATTATATTTAGTGCTGTTTGAATTTAGAGTAACTGAGCACAGGACAAACATCAGAGCTGATGTGGCCATACCAGGCAGAATAATTTAGGGAAGGCCACATTTTTAGAATTTAGAGAAACACTGAGGAACAAAATTACAGGATAGCAAAAGGGGATGGATTTAGGGAAAATAATGGAATGCAAAATTTAGGGGTGGCAAATTTTTTGAATTTAGGATATGCTTAGCAGCAGAATTTAGGACCCACCGAAACTGCATTCAGTAGCAAAATATCTAATTGCAGTACTGGATAAGTACATGTGGGAATTTATGTATTCAGGACTCGGATAAGCTTAAGCATGTGCTGGAAATAGGCACAAGTACAATAAATAACTAGACTAATATAATTCAGGCTTAACTTCATTAGTGTGTGATAGAAGTAGACAAGAATGCATATTCATCACCGCATGTTAATTAACACATGATTAGTAAAATTTAGCAGAACAACATGTCTTTAGTCACCAATCTCGTGATATACCAGCAATGATATACAGCGGATGCTAGCTAAGCTTATGGTGATAGCCACAAATTTCAAGGCTTTCAGATACCGCAAACAAAAGGTGGAAATTTTCTATTAATGGAATTTATGCAAAAACGTAGAGAAGTGGTAATAAACAAAGATGATATAACAGAAGTATCTCATTTCAGTGCCAATGCCTCAATTACCAATCAACTGATGGACAAAAAAATCTGTAGTACAATTCTAAATCTGAAAAATATCACTACGGATAGTGAAGAAAGGGGAAATTCTCAAAACTTACAAGACTTGAACAATGGAACTTTTAAATGAACAAGAAATTAGGTTTATCTATAGAATTAAATAGAAAGATTTAGCACAAAAACAAAGCAACTTATACAGCTTGCATTGAAGTATTTAATAAAGAAAAACAAATAAATATCATTGTTTTTTCTGTAAATTTTGATTCTTTTAAAGTTATAAATGCTTCATTATTTTTATGAACCACTATTTCACATTTTTAATTTTATAATTTCTATATGCCATTTTACTAGATTTAAATTGATGACCTAATATCTGGAAAAATCGCAAATCTAGAATTGTCAAAATCTTGACGAGTTTGGATCTTGGACTTTGTACTGTACATGCTAATTAATTGTGTAGATTATTTAGTATTCAAAGTGCAATTATTGTATAGTTATATGTGAGAATCTTTCACTGACTCTTTTCACTGATTTCATTTATTGAAGTACTTGATAATGAGATCCTACCAAATTCTATAGCAAAAAATATAGCAAGAACAAGATCTTATTTTCTATAAAATGCAGTACATAAATACACACAGCATTTACACAGTTTTTTGTACACATCGCTAAGCGTAATCTATAATAATAAAAGCAAGTGTAAGTCTGTCTGTCTGTCTGACCGAGCTCTCCAGCCAAATCTATGGCACGCAGGGACCTGGAATTTTTTATACGGAAGCACAAAGGGGCTGGCCACCAGACCTCGAAGCCCGATTTTCGATTTTTGAATTAGAAAAATTTAAAAAAAATTATTTATAATTAATTAATCACGGTTTTTTTGACTCACTGATATTATTATTTGTTTTCAAATAACGTTCGATTGTAACAATTGATTTCTTTATTCTAGCGTTAGTTTGCTGTTTTTTGACGATACATTAAATCGATTAATTACAATTCATTTCTTTTTTGTAGCTTTTTTGCTGTTTTCATGACACATTAATTTCTTTTTTTTTTTCAGAATGCACATACTTTTGTTTCTAATATATTATCATGGTTTTTTGACTCACTGATCGTGTTGCTATTATTTATTTTCAAATAACGTTCGATTATAAACAATATTCTTTATTGTGTTTCTTCAGTTTTTGTAATCATTTTTCTGTTGGTTCTTACTTTTTTGCTTTTCAGATTTTAGAGAAAATTGCCGCAGCCACCTCGAAAAAGAAATTTTGGAAAATAAAATCGACAAGAGAGCGATACCCTCGCCAGTTCTTGAAAGAGACGCAGACTGGACAAGACGGATATCCACTGTATCGTCGTAGAAGCCCTGCAGATGGGAGGTTTTACAGCAAGCATCAATCTACGAGGATCATAAGTTTCAGTGGACAATGCCTGGATGTTCTTACTGTCCACTACTATCCAAATTTTAAGATAATATCTCTAGGAGGATTGAACCTGAAAAGCTTTGGACTTCCCCAACCTAACAGAAACAGCGATTCTGCCATTTCCAGTGAAGTAATTAGAGAACGAGTTATAACATGGATGTGCTCGCAGCTTATATACAGGAGAATGAGCCTAAATTGGTCCAAGATCAAAAAGAAGCCTTTGACAAAGACTTATCAACCTTTATTTGGCAAAGTGCGGCACAGAGAATGAGATTGCCCTGGCTGTCGCTTCATCCGGCATTGCTGCTACTCTTGACAGGTGGTAGGGACTGCTCACTCGGCGTTCAAGTTACCCTTAATCTGACAAGCACAGAGACTCCAACGTGTAACATCCCAAGGAATTCAGGAAAGGCAAGGTTCTACAGGATTGCAAAGCTCATCGTTTGGGACGAGTGTACCATGTCCCCCACAAAGCCGCATTCGAAGCATTAGATGTCACCATGAAAGACCTCAGACGGAACAATGACAGAATGGGAGGCGTCGTAATGGTTTTGGCAGGCGATTTTCGACAGACGCTACCAGTTATTCCGCGTGGAACGAGGGCAGATGAAATGCAGGCCTGCATAAAATCTTCTTACATCTGGAATGAATGGCATTCAAACACTTGGATTATCGACTAACATGCGAGTTCATCTCAACGGTGATCCCTCTGCCCAGCAGTTTGCAGATAATCTACTGAAACTAGGAAATGGAGCCCTTTACTTCAGAAAATGAAGATGGATATGTAGCGATGCAAGGCATTGGAAGGATTGTGACTACTGAAGAAGAAACTGAAAAAGAGGCTTGTGTTTTCCGAATGTGATTCACCACTTCACTGATCACGCATGGCTGTGCGAAAGAGCAATTCTTGCCCCAACAAACGAAGCCGTCAGTGTTATCAACAAGGAACTTTTTACAGAACTTACCCGGAACTCTTCATATTTACAAATCTATAGACACGACATGCAATATTGACGAGGCTGTCAACTATACGACAGAGTTTCTCAACAAATTAGAGCCACCTGGAGAGTACCCTCCCACATATTGGACTTGAAGGTTGGAGCACCGATAATTTCTCCTCAGGAATCTGGAAACCGCCTGCACTTTGCAATGGAACAAAACTTTCTATCAAGAGAAACTGATGCCAAATATTAAGAAGCCACCATCATGACCGGACATGCTGCAGGCGAAGATGTGTTTATTTCAAGAATTCCTATAATCCCTTCCAATCTCCAGTTTCAGTTTAAGCGTCTACAATTCCCTGTTCGTTTGAGTTTCGCGATGAGCGTTAACAAGGCACAAGGACAATCTCTCAAAGTTGTAGGGCTCGACCTCCGTAAGCCGTGTTTCTCCCATGGTCAACTGTACGTGGGTTGTTCAAGAGTTGGTAATGCCGATAATCTACACATCTTAGCTCCGAATGGAAGAACATTAATATAGTTTATCCCGAGGCTCTCTAACGAAAAGGACAATCTAACGAAAAAAAAATTATTGCCACTCTCCACTCTCCCAAACTAACTCTGACTATCATGCTTTAAATAGTGATGTTATTGTTTAGTGCTCTCTTGAGAGCATGAGCAATAATCTGAATGGGGCTGCCGTACCAACAGACATTAATCGGTCAGGGGCCCTTGCGAACCCAGCCCGAGCTCCACAAAACAAACATACACAAACACTCTCCTCTTCTAATTCATTGTCATCTAAATTTAACTTACACTTAAATTAAAAATTTAATTGGTTCTTAACTCCAATTTCCTGTAAGGCAGGATGTTTTATTTCATCCATGTTTTCGTTACTTTTTATTTTTTCTGTACTGTACTCTCTATCTTTTCCCTTTCAACTCTTTCCTATCTTTGATTTGAATTTTTTATGTTTACTTTTCTTTATACTTCAGACCAATGATTATAACCACATGACTACGGTTTCCTAGCATGTGTAATATGAGGTCTGTTCTCATTTTAAACTAATTTTTTTAAACAGATGGCTCATGGTTAGGATATATTGTTCCTTTTTATCGACGGGGGAATGTTGTGGTGTGTGGGGGGGGGGAGAGAGAGAGGACAGTCTACATGTCCTACACTACTATTCCTGCGCTATTCACTTATCTGCATTTTCTAAATGCACGGGCAACGCCGGGCGGGTACAGCTAGTGTCAACATAAAAGGTTATCATGCTGTTTCTCAATTACTACCATAAAAAATTGCTTAATTATCACTCTATGAGTCATTACTCAAGTTGTCGTGTGTTAATAAACATGCGGTGATGAAAGCAAAATATAATAAATAATGATTCACCAGGTTGGCATCAGGGGTTAGGTGTAAAACCAAGGATGTATCTGTAGAATGTTTCAGTTTGAGATGTATGACCGGCAGTTTTGGAGAAAAAAATATTGATCATACAAATTTATGCTAAAATGATTGTTTCTTCAATAACAAAGTATTTTATTTAGTGCCAAAGTGAAATTAAGAATCGGGAATCTCCACATCTTTTATTATTTCGCAGGAGAGGGGGGAATCAAATATGCATGAGTACAGCACACACACACCAAAAAAAAAATAATAATAATAATAATAATACATTTTTTTTTAAAGTTGGTAGTGGCCTTTGAGGTCCGGATTTTAGATCATTCGGGATATTGGATGTTCAGATCTCGGACTTTGTACTGTAGTAATGTAAAAATTCTCCTGGTATTTTATATCTGGATTTGTGTACTTTTAATATATTGCCTTAATTTCTTTGACATATTTTAATATGCACGTATATATATATGTCCTTACAGATATCACAAAAAATATTCTAGCCCGTATATATATATATATACAGCCTTGCCAGTTAGAGGTTTAAGGCAATCCATACACAATGAAATTTGATAAGAAAAATTATGCTGAAAATCGCTAGGCTGGGGGAATGGAATTTTGCACATTTTAAGTTTCATTAACTCGATAAATCTCCCCCACCTTTCCCCCCCTTCTTCTAGAAACATTTTCCTTAATACAGACTGAAAATTAACAACCAGGAGATCAAAAGATATTGTTGCGTGCGTGCGGGTTCGTTATGAAATGAATGCACAAGTCCGATGAAAAATGAACAAAATTTATTATTATCACAACAAAAATGCTTAAATTTCCTCAGATATTCGCGCAGCATTACAATATCTCACAGTAGTTATCTTTTAACTACTCAAACGTTCATGAGAATTTAATTCGAAACAGCTAAAGAAAGCTAATCCGCGAATTCGCTACAATCAACAAGAACAAATTTCTAAACAAACTCTTAAAACAACAACAAACTAACTAACTAAAAATAATGAACTGAGAGATTTTCATCCTTTTTAAAAGATTTTAAATCATGCGCGAGAATTTTCTGGAACTTTCTCGAAATCAAAAAGAGATATTTATTAAATGTTAAATGCCCATGCTCTTGTATTTTTAATTTTCCAGCTTAGCTTTCCTTTACTATTCATCAGACGCTACACTGCATGTGGAATGAAACAATTTAATTTATAATTCAACTAACATTAGCTATTTAAATACCAAATCCGTAGCAATATGATGAAAAACTGCAAGTTTCCCCCTAAAATCAAGAAAATGGCAACAGTGATATATACAGACTTTTTCACAAAGAAGAAATATATTTTACTTTATTTTGATATAAGAATTCATTATAAATTGTAAAGAAAAAGGATTGTACGTTTCTATATATAATTATAGTCCGCATGTTGTTTTAATGCAATTGTTTCTCACTGCTGGAACAATGAAAGTGTGCAGTATAATTGTGTGCAATGGGTTTAAAAATTAGAACTTCTATGACTTTTTTACTCTGGAGAATTCTTAATGATATGCTGTACATGGTAACTCAATCCATCACACTGCAAAAACTTCAGCATCAGATTTTTCCCCGAGTTGTCAACAAATTGCAGCAGTAGTTCATTCTAGAAATGTGCTACACCTAGCATGTGTATGCCTGAATGTGACAAGAACTTTAATGAACATTGTAAGTGAAGTATACATAATATATGATTTTTCAAACTTTAACCATTGCTTACAATGTTCTGCATGACATGCTTTTGTATCACACTGAAAAATTTTGGCAAGTAAAATCTACTCCCACCCTCCAAAAAAAAGAAGAAAAAAAAACTTTTTAGATAAAAATTAATTTGATTGCTTGATTAATTGAACTAATTATTATTATTTTTACTATTTGATAGCTTGATTAATTGATTAAAAGCAACTGAAGGCCTATCTGCTTATGGAAAGAGTTGCCATCATGAAGAACTAATGGAAATGGGCTCATATCCATGTTACAAATGGAGAAAACCATGAAAACTCCCATGCAGCCAACCTATTTGCTGGGATTCAAACCTGGATTGAATTACCAGTGCTCAGAGACTTTACTACCTTTCTCTTGGTGGACTTAAAAAGGTACACAAAAAGCAGGACAATAAAATATATTTTTAGCTGTTATTAGTAAACTACATATTTTTAAGAGAACAATGCAAAAACTTATGGCTTTGAAATAAAAATAAAGAATTAAAATTCTATTATAGAGATTTACAAAGAATCACCAAAACATTCACATGCCCAACATTACAATTTAATTAAAGCAAATTTTGCTTCAAATTTTTTCATATTATATGCCAGGATTTTTCACTTTAAAATTCCAAAAAAATTATTTCAGGAAAAATTCTTTTAATGTTTAGTAAACAGTAACAAAATCTTATAAACTTACTTTTAAAATTCCAAGCAGTTCTCCAAAATTCTCAATTTTTACATTTTTGGATATGAATATCTGTTGTAAACACTTTAATATGCATATTAATATCTAAAAGAAAGAAATAATGAGTTATTAAAATAGAAAGAGTATTATTTTATAATGTTAAAAAATATTAGACGATGCAAAATAATTGTCTTCAATGTTAGAGAACATATTGCTTTGTATATATGTAAATAATTTGTAGTATCTCTTGTATAATTTAACATGAAAGGATCAAAAAAGTGAAGCTTTGCCAGAAAAGTAAAATTACAGGCGGCATGTCCACCCAACATTGCGGTAAATGGCTATCTCGCCAATTTATCGAGATACTGTCAAGCTGGCAATGGTTTTGGCAACTAACTTTTAGTCACTAAATTTGGTGATAAATCGCCAAAAGATATCAAATTCGGAGATAATTTGACGACATTTCGGTCTGATCCCTGTATAACTAACTGTTCCTTCCCTACGCAACTGTATCTGGTCCTATGTAATTTTAACTGTTAGCTGCCTTGCAGCAGTTTGGAGAAATCAAAGGTACTGGAAATTTCTAAGCAGATGAAGGAAAACTATATAAAACTGGAAGGAGCATCAGTTCTCAGTTTAGTTCAGAATCTAGCTCAGAATATTGAGAGTACCGAGAGATCATTGTGCCAGCTCACTTACTGAGACCTTTTATGTTGCTTTGTGTTTAATGTTCTTGGTAGTTTGCATCTATTGATCGTGCTCTGTCATACTGAGAAGAGCTGTACAAGTACTTTTGTACAGTGTTTCATTTGAGAAAATAAATTTAACAAGCTAGCATCAGTTCTGTGTGCATTCAATAAACTCGTATGCATGTAACAATATATACAATTATAAAAATTAATTCACTCTACTTCGCAAGTTAAATCTACAAATAATAAAAGTGAAAAAATAACATTAATGAAATATCTATTTGCTTTTCATAAAGCTGGAAAAAAGAATGAATGAATATTTTTATTTGCATACCTTAAGTGAAGCAATATCTGAAATATTATTTGCAAATGCCTCAACTTGCAAAAACGATACACACTTTTTGTAAGCAATATTCAGTAAGTCATCTTGAATGAAACTTTCACCGAGTTTTCTGTAGAAAATAAAAAAACAAATAAATAAAACTATTATAAATGAATTAAATTTCAAGCATTAACAAACTAGAATATAGGCAAATTTGTTGAATCTTTCATTTGTTTCTCATTAACAGCTATATTAAATCTTCTTCAAATATTTATTACTTTAAGCCATTTTTTAATAAATTAATTACATCCAACAATTTTTCATAATTTAGCAACTTGAGGCTATATACATTTTATTATTTCTTTCCCTCAGTAATTAATGCCTTAACCTAATATATAGACTACCGTTGCCTCCTATGAAGGGACAGACAATTTACATCCATGCCTTCTGTGGAATTCGAACCCGGGCCCTTCAGTACGGCAGTCAGAATCACTAACCACTTTCCTATCTGAGCGGCAAGTTTTTATCTATACTAGTAATCTATAGAATCATAATCTATATGAGTAAAATCCATACCAATAATTTCAACAAAAATTAACAAATCCCCAATTATCTTGAGAATTCTTATGTTTAATAACCTAATTATCAAAGCTTGCTTTATATTTATCTCTGCAAAGATTTCATAAATTGAAAATAAAATATCCAACTTTGTGTTCAGAGGCAACATTAACAAAGTTGGACAAAATTCTACATCAAAATAGCATTTATATAAGTTCTGGGCATTTTAGAAAAACCTGTTAATAGTTTTTCTTTTTCAAACATCAGGTTAGCAGATAGTAATTTAAAGATTGGCTGAAAAGCCAAAATACAGCATAGGTTTAAAAAAAGAAAAATAAGAATAGAGATGACAGACCTGTGTAAGAATACTTAATAATACACACAACTTTTTCCTAAAATAAATGAGAATACAACTCTAAATTCACACTAACATGCTTTTATTCATTCAATTTCATTAGCAGATGTTCATATTGAATACAATACTATATTTATCGCAATATTGACAGGATATACATTTTAGAAATACTTTTCCATTAAAGCATTTGGCTATTAAAGCTATGGCATTTAACACTTAATTTTTGTTTTGATGTGTTTCCCCTTGGGACCAGGTATCGCCAGCAGGGTTTGGCTTTTTTCTTGGCAAAATCTGTTTTTATAGCCAACCCTTGTGCAATCATACTTTTTATCTAAGCTTTCTTTATTTTTAAACCAAAAAGATTTTACAGTTTGGTTATTTGCTATGAGATAAAACAAGCAGGTGTCCCCCCCCCCTTCAAGAAAGAACTATTCTTTATAAAGAAAGACTCCTTACAAATAACCACTTCATGAAATTACAATGAAACTGAAAACCAAAATGCATGTGCAACCTTTGTTCATGCCAGAAAAAAAAGGGTGTCTGAATACACACTTGGCTTACTAGAGCATGCATTTCTTTTATTATTACAATGTGATTCACTTACTTATAGTGCCAGAAGTTAACACATATCAAGCTTTGTAAACTAAAGCTTGCTTCAAAAGAACCACAAAATAATAGATGACTAAAAAATTATACAAAAGTCATTAATTCGGACATCCATAATCCGGAATGATCTATAATCCGGACCTCAAAGCTACAAACTTTCTGCGCATGCGTCGCGTTGGCGTAAGACCTTTATGGATGCGAATATACGTGTGCGCGTGCGCAAAATACGTTTACGAATGCACATTTAATGCATAATGGACGGTATAAGCTAAGCTAAAATTATCTAATTCAGTTAATGTTGCAGATTGCGTTGTTCCTTAATCTTCGAATTGGATTCGGCTTATTATTTTTTGCAGACTGTTAGAGCAATTTTATAAAAGTAAGCTTGAACTTTCGATTATGTCAAATAGAATTTCTGATATGTATTTACTAATATGTAAAGGATCTACAAAGCGAAAGTATGTTTCGAAGTCCATTAAACAAAAAGTGGAATTGCTGCAAAAAATGGATAAAGGCATATCCTTTGTTTATCTAAACTTTAACGTTTGTTTATCTAAACTTTGTTTATCTTTAACGCCGCGGTGCGCAAGGAATTGGAAGTTGATCTGTCAGCACTATCCTTATCTTCAGGGCAGATGTTTTTATTTTATTTAGCTTATAATTCCTTACTAAATGTAGTATTTCATCTCGATGTACTCCATCTTTGATATGACTTAAATCAAATTCCTCGTCATTATAATTCAATTGAAAACAAAAAAATTTTGATTGAGAAATTAGTCGGTATTCTCAATATACAGCAATTATAGGACTTGAACAGCGGAACTTTGTAACTGAAGAAGAAATTATGTCTGTTTATAGAATTAAAGAGAATGTATTATCACATAAAAAACGAAGCAACTTAAACAACTTACATTGAAAGAAATGTTTAATAAAGTAAACAAATAAATATTAAGCCTTTTTTGTGTGTGTGTGTGTGTGTGTGTGTGTAAATTTTGATACCCTTTAGATCATAATTGTTCTTTATTTCATAAATTACGGTTTCATATATTTAATTTTATAATTTCTGCATGCCATCTTACCAGATTTAAACTGATGATCTATAATCCGGAAAAATCGATAATCCAGAATCGCCGAAGTCCCGACGAGTCCGGATTAACGACTTTTGACTGTATAAGAAAGGCATGAAATATTATATGAGAGAGGTATGTGACAATTTGTTATCTTGTCCTAATGTTAAAACTAAGGAATGCAATACAATTGCAGAAATTGCTGAAAACTTATTCACACATGGAGAAAAGTAACACATGGGATGTTCTTCCCTCACAATGGGTTTTGTTAGAGTTCTGTCAGGAAGTTACAAAATGTTTTCTTATTGCTGTTCACAAGAGTTGGGAAAGATGGGAAGGATACAGAAATATGCCAAAATTTACGAATATGGTACTGAAAATGGTAAGGTTTTAATGAAAAAGTATCCTTCTATATAAAAAAAAGTTATCTAAAACAAATGTTAGGCTGTTTTGCTTTCTTGGAATATAATGCATTCCTAAACTAAAAAAATTTACGAAATATGATTTCCTATATTTTATAGAAATATGAAAATACAATTTCCCAATGAAATCTAGGGTCTATGACAACTGGCAATTTTTTAGAAAACTTATGAAAAATAAACCCTATCTTTCAACAAACAGTTGTTAAATATTACACTTATAAGAAACAGATATTTTTGCAAACACAAAGTTTTTTTTTTTTTTTTGCGTTATTTGACAATTACAAAAGTTTTCTTTTTCTTTTTTTTTAATAAATTTTTTAATGGTATGTGGATGTGTAAGAAAATTCCAGTTTTTTTCCCTGCTTAAATATGAACAATAGAAACAATATTTTATTTTGACCATGAATCCTGAAAAGAAATCCACTTTGCTCCCAAGCAAATGGCAAGCTTACTAGCAGTTTAATAATGTTTTGTCACCAATGCTGTGACAAGGATCTTCCGCCAAAATTTCAAAATACAATAAATAGAGCACATTTATTATATAAAACTTGATTGATATTATTATAATTATTCAATATGTTTTACAATTCTATATATTAAATTACATTGAATTAAATTATTCTTTAGAAAAAGAGCATTTTTGAAAACTACAAATCACGCATCTGGACAGGGAGAATATTAAAAAAAACAGTACTTATAAATTTTAAGATTTAGCTTTTTATAAGAACTTGTTTTTACTTTAAATAATGAATATAATATAGTTAAAATTATTTTTTATAAGCTATCAACATGACACCTATTTAATTGAGTCTTTGAGGTTTGGTTTCTTCTGTTTCTTCAGTCAGGCTGTATGATTGCAATCTTGTATCCTCCTTTACATAAACTAAACTGGCTTATCAAAGATTAATGGGACTTACGCAAAATCAATGCAAAGATCTTATGAGTGCATTGTAACATTATGCTTATACATTACAGGCACCAAATCACACTGTGCCGCCCAACTGGTATAGTGGTTAGCGTCACTGATTGCCATGCCGAAGCGCCCGGGTTCAAATCTCAGAGAAGAGATAGATGTTTGTAAATGTATAATGTCTGTGCGGCATGTGGGCACTCTAAAAAGGCAAGCCAAAAATTCTCTCGAGAGGTTGGTGGTAGGGGAAGAGGGGCGAGAGACCCTCAGACTCATCCCCTTGGAGTGCTCTCCATCAAAATTGCGGGGGGCGAGACTTGAGCTAAATCCCACTGTCACCTTTAAGGTGCTTTAGGCTGTTGCCAATGACAGCCGTAAGCAGTGGAGTAACAAGCATAATTGGCGCCCGGGGCAAAATACCTTTTTTCCCTGCCCCCCCAAAAAACTTATAGTAATATGATGTATAGAATATATTAGTAATACGAAAATAATGCAAATAATAATAAAATGATGAATCTGCCATAAAATACTCTAAAATACATTAAGAATAGTCACTACCTAACTATGCTAGCATTGAATTCGGAAATGTATCCGCGTTGGAGATTCAGTTTCTTTTCTACTACAGAGTAACATCTTGCAGTCACATTCACTGCTCAAAACAATTAGGGGATACTGTGAGTTTGGTATGAAATAACCATATAATCGACAACCTTTTTAACTAAAGAAAATAGAAGAGATTATAAAGGAAAATTAAAACGTTTACAAAGTTGGGAATATGCAAATTTAGTCTGTGACGTCGAAAACTATACATTTTAGATAAGGAGAAACCCGCAGCATTCCTTTTATAGTAGGAGATCAACACACGTTTACTGCTTTGTAGCAGTAAATATATGATGTCTCAGCAAGATGACTTAGTTGAATTGGTAGCCAGGCAGGCCATCAGTCATTTACAGGAGAGTTAAATGTAATCCATTGTAGCAGAAGCACAAGGAGTTTCCCAAAATGTCATTTCCAGACTATGGAATCGGTTTTGCGAAAATGGATATGTTTAAGAAATTCAGGACAAAGTCGTGTTATCGTTTTAAAGTAAAAAGCAGGAGTTATATGTGCATTTTGTTTAAAAAAAAATATATCTCGATTTTAGAGAAATAAAGTGGTCAGAAAGAACGTTTTGTATGAGGAGATATTTGGTTGACGTACTGCAAACATTTTATTACACATTTTATCAGACAAATCAAGAAAATAATTATATTACAATAATTATTAATTTTAAATATGCTTTCTAGAAATCGATCAAAATAAAAACTGAAATTTTATGAAAAATCTTGAAACCATTGGCGCCCCTCCGCAAGCGGTGCCCAGGGCATCATACACCCCCTTGCCCCCCCTCGCTACGCCACTGGGCGTAAGTTTGTGCTCATTGCCACAAGGAATTTCATAGGCTTGGGTTGACTATAGGTCAGACAAGTGATCATTAGCAACAAAAACAATCACACTGTTTTTGTTTGTCAGAAATGGTTAATGCAAAAATGTATACATACAATAAAATCTACCAAAAATAAACAAATCTCTTTGTTCTAACAGCCTTTACACCACTGACAAAAGAAACAAAGGACAAAAGGAGCAAAGGCTTTTGGGGCAAAAAGAAAGCTTTCACAATGTTTACAGCACATCTTTTGTAACTGTACTTTATGAATACCTCAATCATCTTAATTTGATGTATCTTGGGTAATAAGTTAACTCCAGAAACTTAATAACAGATTGCTTAATGCAAATGAATCTAGAAATAATAATAAAAAAGTAAGAATTATTGCATAATTCAAACTCACTTCACAAGAAGACTATGCAGACAATTAAAAGCATTAAAGTGAACGCTTTTATCAAACTTAGACGGAATCAGTAATTGCACCAAAACTCCATTCTTGCCAATTAGACTCTCATGAAGCTGCAAAAATATAATAATAATAATAAATACCATCTAATAGATAAAAACAATAAATATGACATTTTGCAAAGGAAATAAATCAATAAAATAAGTGATATTTTTCTTATCTCTTTAAAGACATGTATTTCAATAAACTTCTGAAAGAGTTTATATTTAAAAAAAAATAAATTATTTTAGCTGCTACCAAACTGACAAAGCCAGAGGCGTAACTAGGGATATGTAAAGTGTATGTTGCTTAAGGGCTGGGATCTTGGAAGGGGACACTTGGACATTCTGCTAAACTAGAAATTAATATTTAAACTTTATATTTAAAAAAATGAAAACTAGTTCTGATTTTTGCCTGTAAAAACATACATGTAAGGATATTATGACGTGCAAAGTTACAGTAACTTCCCCATTTGCTTCGTTTAACTTGTCAACAAAATGAGTACAAAAACAATGGAGATGCTATTTTATACTTCAGAATTCAGAAAAATGGTATTTATTATCATGATTCAAAGGAAACCTGATACTTTTTCTGTTAACGGAGTGCATGTTACCATATGCAGTAACCTCTTTACATTTTATAAGTGGGCAACGTTTAAGTTATTCCTATGTGCGCAGTGATCTACTTTCACTTAACATCAGAAAATTGCACAAATTCTGTATCATACACATTAAACATTATGTATAGTACACTGTATTATATGATATATTATTATTAAAAATGAAACCTTTGTTCCATTATTAATTAATATTTAATTAACTCTAGATTGATATACCAGAACAATGTTTAAATACTCAAAAAAAAAAAAAATCTGCAAAAGCAATCTGTATTTTGTGTTCAAACATGGTTCAGACAATTAATTTAATAACTTAAAGTTTTGTCTCATTTTTAACTTTATTTTAACCACATTTGCCAGTTAAGTTTTCATTGCCTAAATCACAGTTATTATCAGGTCTTTTTTTGTGTATGTGTGAAGCTTTACATTAGTCACTTGGATTTTGTTACAAAGTTTATTTTTGGTGCTAAGCAGCACCCTGTCAGCAAAAAATATCAAAATTTTCAATCAAGTTTCAGAAAAGCACTTCCAAGTAAGAAATCTATGACCAGTACAAGCAATTTAAAAGTACATGCTGTTTGTGAAAAGGTAAAAGTATTAGATGGCATTCCTTAAAGTTCTGTACTTTCCTATCAATGACGACTCTATACTGAAACCTCCCTTTAAGAAAAGCTTTCTTGTAAGCATGTAAAGTTGCCAAGTGTTCTAATCAAAGAGAAAGCATCAATTTGTCAATCTGATCACAAACTGAAGTTGCTCTATTTTGAGAGAGAAGATATTTATATTTATTTGCATACCAGTGTATTGCTGTACATATAGAAGTACTGATTATCTTTAATGTATTTTGATTTTTAATAAAATATTTAATATTTTATTAACATATTTATTGGATGTTAAACTGTATCTAATTCATAATTTTTATAAGCATTTGCACCACTAATTGAATCAATGAATGACACTTCTGACACCTTGTAGTTTTAACTGAGCTAAAAAATCAATTACCTGCTGTCACTTAAAAAAATTTTTTTTCATTATGTTGTATAAATTTGACCATTATATCTGAACTCAAATTTTGTGTTTACATGCAATGAATATTTGTATTTTAACTAGTAACAAATAAAAATAATTAATCATTCATTTTGTATACTACTGTTTCTTGAATTTGAATTGGCAGAATTGTTTTGTTAAACTAATAGAGGGATTAGGGACACTTTTTTATTTTCTTTCTTCATGGCCCTTTTGCTTATATTTAATGGTACAGGGTTATTTCCATTTGATTAGGCATAAAACCATTATCTGGTAGATTTTCATGCTTGGCAACAATGCACTTTCTGATGTTGTTAATGAGAAAATGCCAAAGTGAATGTGATAGTTCACATTAGCAATACATGCCAGATTTTATGTGTTGCTAATAGTATCAGGGCAAAGTCAAATTTTAGAAATGATGTAATCTCAATGAGCTCAGCAAGCATCTTCCATACCAGAGAAAATCAGTCAGAAGAATTTTTTTGACTAACTTAATAGATTTATATTTTATTCATATGTAATACTATTATATTAGTAATCAACTTAAAAATTTTCATTATCGATATAGTATTAGCTTCATGTGTTAGCTTCTAATAACTAAATATAAATATGTGCCTATATGTATGTCTTTTTACTTGAACTGTGAATGAATAAGAATTCCACCACATTTTTCACTCTAGCCTTTTGAAAAGGGGGCGGGGAGAAATTGTTTGGTAATAATAAAGAATACAATGGCTATTCGTATAAGACAAGGGATGACTTGTGGAGTAGTTTCTAAAGGAAGCTGCCTCATATTAAGTTGTTTTCACTTTTTGTCAAGTAGTTTTTCCACTTTTTATCAAGTAGTTATTCTCCTTTTTTGTCAACATATGGTGCCAAAGGCTTTATTTCTTCTTCCTTAAATGGCATTGTATTCTTTTCCACCACATTTTTCACTCTAGCCTTTTGAAAAGGGGGCGGGGAGAAATTGTTTGGTAATAATAAAGAATACAATGGCTATTTGTATAAGACAAGGGATGACTTGTGGAGTAGTTTCTAAAGGAAGCTGCCTCATATTAAGTTGTTTTCACTTTTTGTCAAGTAGTTTTTCCACTTTTTATCAAGTAGTTATTCTCCTTTCTTGTCAACATATGGTGCCAAAGGCTTTATTTCTTCTTCCTTAAATGGAACTTTTGGTAACTTTTTGTCTATTATTATTGTTCCAGCACATTTCCCCTTCCCCATTTTCACTCTCACACGAGAAGGTTCTATTTAACCTTTAAAATAGCTTCGCAAATGTATGCAATTAATGCTGATTCTTGCTGTATAGAATTTTTAGCAATAGATTAATTAATTATGCCAAATCAAACATGGATTAGATGCTTATATTGGGAACTGGGGGAAAAGAAAGAGACAAACTTAAAGAAACATGAAAAAAAAAAAAAGAGAACTTTAAAAGAATTCTTCATTTTTTCCCCTAATCTTCTAATTTCATACGACTTTCTTCAGAAAACTTAGAATTGCAAATAATATGTAAAGTTTGATATATATTTAAAAATTACAGATGGATCTGAAGAGTACAAGTTAAGCCCATGTGTAATTGGTAGTCCCTCTCTGCTTTTATGTAAATCAGGCCCGAGTGTTAATATATACAATTCATTTTCTGTTCAGTTTGCATGCCATATGTGTCAACAAGTAAATTCATATGATTATACAAAATCAACACTGATTTTTTTTCATTTGAGCTTCCTCTGGGGAAAAAAAAAAAAAAAAAAAAAAAAAACCATCAACTGGGAAACTGGGAGTTAATTTTTTTTTTTTTTAATTAATTTATTTATTTATTTATTTGCAGATTTTATGCTGCAAGGGCATGGAATTTAAAGAAGCCGAATGTAAGTCCCATTTCCAAAATTAATTACCCCTCTCTTCCAAAATTAAGAAATCTCTATAATATACAGATTAAGTTTCTGTTCTAAATTAGGAAATGCAACAAACAGAATAAATTTACTGGGAAAAAAAAAAAGTTTTTCACAAAATAATTCTTAAATATATAAAACTATCAATACAGTTGAATTCATTATAAGTACATGTTAGTTTTACTGGTAACCAAAATGCCAAAGTAAAAATGCAGCCAAATTTTTAAGTGCTTTGCCAAGAAAGGAAAAAGTACTTTTAAATTAAGGAATTTTAATGGACATGCAAAAAACAAACAAACAAACAAATAAAAAATCTTTATTTCTAAAAATGCAAATTTCAGTTTTAAACTCCTATGTCATAATTTATTTTCTGGGGTGGTATAAACTAGCAACAGCAGTTAAAATGACAAAAAAAAACCCAACAAGCACATCCCTCTCTAGAAAACATGCAGCAGCTTCATAAAAATTATCATCATTCTAAACCTGAAAAAAAAATGAGCTCACAATTTTATTACTTAATTTGAGTTACAGTGTTAAGTTTGCTAAATTGTCTGGCAATTAATTACTGGTCACCGGTAAAACTAACAGACAACCTATTATGAATACATACATATATAAAAAAAAATATTTCAAATCTTATCTTACCGTAACTACTTTATCTGCATTTCCAGATAGCAAGGCTGAAAGAGTAATGAGTAGATCATTTAAAACCCACTCACCAGACATTCTAATTGCTGAAATCATAAATGAACTAAGGGACTCAATACATGTAGCATGGAAAACTACCTGAAAGATAATTTGTAATTGTTCAAATATTCATTTAAAGAGAAGAAACTAAACATACATATTAATTAAATTATTAAATATGCACTTGAATTAAATTCCATACAGAGAAAATTTATATTTTTCGAAATTTCAAAAAAGAATTTTTAAGAAAAGCAGATGTTTTGGAATACAAATTTTTGGCATTAGCTTATTATCTGAAATGAGAAATATCATCTGCTACTTTTATTCTTTTTTCAAAATGTAGCACATCAACAAACTGTGGATTAAAGTATACATTTCTGCACTTTTCAAAGAGAAATATTCCTATTTCATAATTCAAAAATGCTACACAATGCATAGTATTAAAATTTCTACATGACAAATAAGCAACATTTTTAATCATAAACGGCAAAACCGTCAATCATTACTTCTACATGCAAAGAAGACTCCAAATGAATATCTAAAAAAGTATGTATAGTATCTAAAGTTAAATCAACGGTAACAACATAAAGTCCTCTGATGCAGAAATAAATTGTAAACCCCTTAAATACATCTGTAGCAATAAACCACAATCAAAGTTTCAGATCAATTGATTCTACATTGCAAATGATCAAAACATTGTACGACAAAAAAATTTACACGTTCAAGGACAAAAACCGAAGCAATTATTTGTAATGTTTTTTCACCATATTCGTTTTCACACTTCAGAAAGAATTAGATAAATGCACATTTTATGTCCATATGTTATAATGCTTCTAACCACAAAAATTTTTAATCATTTCCAACTATTGTTAGAAGTTTTCATCCAGAAACAGGAATTAAAATTACAATATTAGATTTTGTTTCATTGCTGGGTGAAACCTTTTTTTTTTTTCCAATGGCAGATTATGAACAGTTACAGATTTGTAACAGAGTCCGTTAATCTATACTAAGGCCAGATAAGGCATTCTCTTTATTATGGAGGCACCTAATAGGCAGGTCCCCATTGCCTCCTATGAAGGAACAGACAATTACAACCATGCCTTCTCCGCGATTCGAACCCAGGCCCTTTGGTATCGCAGTCAGGCTTCCCTAACCACTTTTTGTATACTATCTGGAGGAGCTTTAACGTATGAGTGGAAAAGAAAGCTCACTTCTGAAAACTCTGTCTTTCAGGTGGAACTCATAGCAATCAGAGCAGCTCTTCTCCACCTGAAGAATAATCCCACAGTGCCCAATATCATCTACCCAGACTCACTCAAGCCTCGCTGCGATAGCTGGAATTCGTTCTCGCAGTCCTATTGTCAGCAGCATTAGAGTCATTCTAACACACATGCCTGCATCGCAAAGACCCGCACACATCTGGGTGCCTGCTCATACGGGGGAAATGAGAGAGCAGATGTTCTCGCAAAGGAAGCAGCAGATTCATCCACTTTGCGAGAAGTCCCGACCCTTAGACCAGTCTCGGACCTAAAGAGTCGGACATTCCATCAGCTCCTAAGAATATGGCAAGAACATTGGGATCAAACCTCCACAGGGAGACGTGTTTACAACCTCATTCCCAAGGTCAAGACAACAATCCAAACTAATAGCAATTACATGACGTATTTCCTCACTGGTCACGCCCTTTCTTTCATACCTCTGCCACTTTGGCTTTAAAGAGAATGGTAACTGCGAATGTGGGGAGGAAGGTCATCCAGATCATCTTGTGTTCTCCTGCCCACACACAGCACTTAACAGCCTCAAGCAACCAGGAGCCAGATCCTGGCCACATTGGTTTCAGAATCTACAAAGTAACAGAGTTGCCCAGCGGAAACTGAAAACAATAATTGACTACTGTACTAGCAATTACTCTTCTGACGCTGGAAGATAGTAGCCATATACTACATACTTGAGTCGTATCTAACACACATTAGGTTCTAACAACGGCATTTCTAAGCACAGTTCTCTTAGAAATAGACATCACAACTTCAGTATGGCATTAACTCTTCTTGAAATGGGACATTTATTAACCTGAAAACAGAATAATTGCTCTGCAAAGCCTAGCAGTATGCACGTTAGAAATATATAAGCTAGTTCAATGTGTCAGCAACAGAGTATGTATGTTAAATATGTAATTTTGTATTTATGCCAAGCCAGGTTTTCATACACAAAGTTTGTACTGTACCTGAATGTTGTACTGTATCTGTACATGTTTATATCTTTTATTTATGGTACCTAATTTATACTAAGGATCACGCATACCTCAATGTCATGCTTCTTGTAAACTTTAAACTATTATGATAACGTATATATATGGGTGTATATATCAATATGAGAGTATGTATATTTCTATTTGTTTCGGAATATCTATGTATGTAAGTTTGTATATATCTGTATATGAGTTTGTATTTATATGTATATACATATATTTTGATTGTACTCTTCTTCAAGTGCCTTGTATGCACATGTATGTATTTCTTTGTACATTGTTGTACTCAAGTACCTTGTAAGCATATGTATATCTCTTTTTTGCATTTCATGCCCAGGGCTGCGGCCTGGTAGCTAGTGGTTGACTCCCGCCGAGTTGGTAACCAATTCTGCATGGATATATCTATACCTGGGTCGGAAGCCAACTCAGCGGTTTACCTCCCCTAACCCCTATACCATCTGCAAAGAATATGTATTGCAAAGTACTATTTTAAAAAAGAATAATTTGAACAGTAAAATCGTTGGCTAATATGAGGCAATAATTTTATTATTGACACTAACACAAATTTTGGTGGCATTTGGCTAGAAGAGGCATCAATAACATTTTTACCAAACTTAACGAATGTTTGAACCAAAAACTTATTCGAGTAGGTTGTGCAGTGCACATTTTACAGTCTACACAATACTATTCAAACAGCATCTGACTAACTTCCAGTGGATCTTGAAAATATTATTTCAAAAATTTATTCGTATTTTTATATATATATACTGTGTGTGTCAAAAGTTTGAAGGATTTTTGTGAAAGCACAGAAATCGAATATAAAAAGAATTATTGGTTACAGCAAAGCATGATGGCTAGCTCTTTTACCAGCTGTAGAAAATATTTTAAAGTATATGAACCATTAAAATCATACTTTTTATCACAAGATAAATGTCCAAGAATATCGCAGCTGTTTTTTGAAAATGACACATCACAAATTTGTCTTCATTTCATCCACAACCAAGCTACATTATTTCACAATGTTGTGAAAATTATTGAAGGGGAAGTGTCAAATGAAATCAATAATTTAAAAACAAAATTGTGAGAAAGAATTGATAGCGATTACGTTTAGTTATTCAAAAGGACATCACTTGGAAGAACAAGGTGCCATATTAAATGACCTGATTTTCTGAAAGAAGTCAAAAATTTTTAAATAACTACTTGGAATATCTTGAAGAATGGACAATTCAATTCGAGGATATTAAAAACTTTAATTGGGTAACATTAAAAAAGAAGATTTTATGGGAATATGTGAAAAAAACTTTTTAATATATTCGTAACTATTTTTTGAAAAATAATATTTGTGAAAATGTTCTTTTTGATGAGGTGTCATTGGCAAAAAAAGATGCGTTACTGATGAAAAAATTACATTTTGGTTGTTTGTCTGCAAATGTGGAAACAGACAAAATATGGACGGAGTTATTGCTTCATGTTAAACAGACTAATATTCCTTATGAAAATATTTTGAAAATTGTAGAACACATGTTCTCTCTTCCAGGAACAAATGCAGCAACAGAAAGTGTTTTTTCTAGTATCAATAAAATATGGACAATTGAAAAAAACGCTGTTGAACATTAAAACTTTAACTTGTGTTAAGCCTAAAATATAACTTGATGAATTCATGTGAGAAATTTCACGACATTTTAATAAATGATCCGAATCTATTGCAAAGTATTCACTCGGATAAAAAATTTAACCATGAAAGAAAATCATAATTTTTTTAAATAAAATATTAAATTAATTAAAAAAACATAATATTCAAATTATTATTTTTTACAAATATTTTATAGTTACCAGTTGTTAATAATAAATATATTTTTCTTGAGATATTGGTCTGCTTTCATAACTAAATTAAAATTCTCATTTCATTCCACTTCATTGAGTGACCCAAGAGGCCAAATTTTGCTTACTCAACGAAAGTGCAAAAATAACCACTAAATGAAATTACAAGTACTTACTGACAAGTAAAGTATTTGAAGATAAAACGTGCAAAATTGCAGGAAAAAAAATAGTCTTTGTGATAGCTATTGGTTTTAGGTCTCAAAGACTCTTTTTCTTACAGCTTTGCACTTCATATACTGTTGGGTTGAAGAGCTGATTTTTCCAAACCAAAATTTCCAATTAGACTGTACAAAAAAAGTTATACATTATGCATCAACTGATTATAATACTTATATTAGAAAATTTTATTGCTTAGTTTTTATCAAACACTCAAAAGGTAAAACTGGTTCACATGAAAAAAAATCACTGAGATTGTCAAATCTATTTGTCAAGCAAAACAAAGAATTTCAGAGAAACAGTGAGTTTGGGAAGGAATATGCTCAGAAATGAATGAATATTTCTTTATACAAATACCAGACAGAGGCATCAACTCTACTGAAGATAATAAAAGAACATAATACATGAATGAAGAATAATATTCAGATTGTTGGAGTGCTTGTCAGAAGAAGGAAACAGAAAAAGCCTGTCTTCAACATTCTACGATGTTCATAAATCATAAACACAAATTTTTAGATCCAACATCTGACCCAAATGGATAGAAAACCAAATGATTTTCGTGTGGCCAAATAGCAAATAAAAGAGAAAGAGGAACAGCTTGCCATAACTGTATTAATATTTAGGAGAATTTTTGCAGTGATATGAATGAAAGTTAATATTTCATTTTATAACTAGTACAGGTTGAACAAAGGCCAGCACCTGTACATATGCCATATTAAGTATGTACACTGCTCCCAAAAAAATAAAAAAAAAATTTAAAAAAAAAAATGGGACAGTGCTACATCTCCCGTTCTACTGGGCCAATTGACAAAAT